TATTTTTTTTTGTTAATATTCTTATTATACTATGGAATTAAAATAATAATTATACAAGTAATTCAATTAAATATTATCATTACAATGATTCGTACACACCCGAGATTTACACCATCATTTTGGTTATTTTTAATATACTATAAACAAATTTTTATACTACTGATAATTAGAATTTTATTAGTTGGATATGCCATATATGAAATGTACTGTATAATAATTTTAAGATTTTATTTTTAAGATTCTTATGATAAACAAATTAAGATTTTTAAATTAAGATAAGATTTATTTGTATCAAAATTAAGATTTATTAAATAAAATTCTAAGATTCTTGTTTAAGCACCAATAAAAAATAATATTACTTATTTTGGTTTAATTATATGCTATAAAATTTAAGTTATAAAAAAGCCGCAGATTTACACATATTGGCTAAGTTTGTGAAATTACCAAATTCACTCTATTTTTATACAATCTAACTGTAAATACGCACAATTATACAATATGAAATTTTTTAAAAAACTTTTTAAGTTCTTCAAGAAGAACCAAAAACAAAAAGATAGTTGGGATGATATTTGTGAGAAGATTAAGTCTTGGTTCACAAAGTCGACTAGTAATAAAGAAGATTCTTTAGAAACCACCTTACCACAAGTCAAATTTGAGAATCAATTCTCTATATTTGATTTAAAGTTTTATACAAGATACAAAGAGTATATTGATGATATAAAGAAAGAAGAACCTAAAAAATATCAAAAATACAAGATGTGGTTTAGCTATTTTGATGCATATGCACGTTCATATCACAATCTCTTTAATGATGGCGTGCATTATTATAATAATGATAGTTGGGAAATAGTTGAACACAGAAGAGAATTTTATGAACTCGATTTTGAGTTTGTAATTAATTTTCTAAATAAAAAATTGAAACATATTTACCTATTAGATTATGATGATCTGTTGGAATATGCTGAACAAAATCTTGTATTTTAATCTAAAGAGAATATCAACTGGAAACTTGCTGCAGTTGATGAAAGGAGAGTTGTGTGGGGCTGTTTTAATTCTTGTTAAAACCTGTATATATAATTATTTAATATTGTATATATTAAACCATATTTATTTTTATTTTTTTTTTTTTTTTTATATTTTAGGTGACCACTTAGGCCCCTGGCACTTTATTAGTTCAAACGGGTGGGCTGTCC